AATTTAAAAACATTGAAATACTGCAAAGCATCTTCTCAGGTCACAGTGCTGTAAAATTAGAAATCAGCAATAGGAAGATGAATGGAAAAAGATCAAACATGTGGAAATTGAATAACACTCTCCTTGAAAATGACTGGGTAATAGAAAAAAATTAAAAAATGAAATTAAAGTTTCCTGAATCACATGAGAATGAAAACACAACATCCCATAATCTTTGGGACACAGCAAAAGCAGTGATCAGAGGCCAATTTATAGCAATAAATGCACACCAAAAAAAAAAAAAAAAAAAGCATACAGTCACCAGAAGAAAAGATATAATAAAGATTTTAGGAGAAATAAATGGAACAGAAAATAAAAGACGTGGAAAAAAATCAACAAGACTAGAAGTTGGTTCTTTCAAAAGATTAATAAAATTGACAAACCACTGGTAAATTTAACCAAGGAAAAGAGGGAGAGAATATAAATAACATGAAAAAGAAATGAATTGGATAACACCACAACAGAACCAACAGAAATTAAAAGGACAATATAAAGATAGTATGAAGAACTATACTCCAAAAACTTGAAAATCTGGAAGAAATGGACATATTTTTAGAAACATACAAATTACCAAAAGAAACAGAGGCTGACGTGGAAAATTTAAACAGACCCATAACAAAAGAAGAAATTGAATGGGTCATAAAAAAATTACCAACAAGTCTCATAGAGGCTGGTGGAACCAGTGAGACTGTGGCCCCTAGCTGCCCTTCAGTCTGGATATGAACCCACACTTGTGGCTTCCAGCCAAACAAAAGACAGGCATATGAGTTGAACATTTACCTGAGGTAGATATACTCCTTGGAGAGAACAATAATGGGAGAAAGAAGGGCTGTTTATGCACAGGGAGACAGCTCAGGGTGCAGGAGTGCATGGAGGAATGAACACAGGGAAGAGGTAACTATTGGGAGGAAGTGGGAGGGAAGCTGTTGCATTGTGGTAAATTGTAGTCAATGTCATGAGACAAAGTATATGTGAACTGCTATATGGAAAGTGAATTTGCTCTGTAAATTTTCACCCAAATCACAATTAAAAAAAAAAAAAAATTACCAACAGAAAAAAGCCCCGGCCCAGACGGTTACACTGGAGAATTCTACTGAATGTTGAGAGAAGAACTAACACTAATCCCACTAAAACTATTCCAGAACATAGAAAAGGATGGAATCTTCCTAAATTCATTTCATGAAGCAAGCATAACCTTGATACCAAAACCTACAAAGATATCACTAAAAAGAAAAACTACAGACCAGTATCCCTCATGAATATAGATACAAAACTCAACAAAATCCTAGCCAATAGACTCCAACAACATACCAAAAAAATAATACATTATGACCACGTAGGTTTCATACCAGGTGTGCAAGGATGGTTCAGCATTAGAAAACAATCAACATCATCCACCACGTAAATAAAACAAAGGAAAAAAAATCACATGGTCAATGAATCGATGCAGAAAAGGTATTTGACAAAATCCAAGACCCATTCCTGATAAAAACCCTCAGCAAAATAGGAATAGAAGGGACATTCCTGAACACAATAAAGGGCATATATGCAAAACCAATAGCAACATTATTCTCGATGAAACCATTCCCATTGAGAACAGGAACCAAACAAGGATGCCCTCTATCACTGCTTCTATTCAACATTGTATTGGAAGTCCTAGCCAGGGCAATAAGGCAAGAAAGGGAAATAAAAGGCATCCAAATTGGTAAACACACTGCTGTCAAGTCAGATCCAATTCATAGCGACCCTTCCTTGGGTTTCTGAGGTGGTGTCACTATGGGCATAGATTGCCTGATCTACTTCCTTCTGAGGAATGGCTGGTGGGTTCAAACCACCAGCCTTTTGGTAAGGAAGAATTAAAACGATTTCTGTTTGCTGATGATATAATCCTATACATGGAAAACCCAAGAGACTGGAACTAATTGTGAGATTTACCATAGTGGCGGTATACATGATCAACATCCAAAAATCAGTTGGATTCATCTACACCAGCAGAGATTGCTGAAAAGGAAGTAAATCAATACCATTTACAATAGCTACCAACAAAATAAAATACTTGGGAATAAATCTCACTAGGGACACAAAAGACCTGTACAAAGAAAACTACAAATCACTACTCCAAGAAACCATAAGTGATCTACATAAATGGAAGACCATACCATGCTTGTGGTTAGGAAGATTGAACATTGTGAAAATGTCAGTACTACCCAAAGCAGTGTATACATTCTGTGCAATCCCAATCCAGATTCCATCATCATTCTTTAAGGATATAGGAAAACCAATCACTAATTTTAGGTGAAAAGGAAAGAGACTTCGAATAAGCAAGTAGAATAAGAAGTAGGAGGTCTCACATTCCCACATCTCAAAACTTACTGTACAGCCACAGTAGTCAAAACAGCATGGTACTGGTACAACAACAGACACGTAGACTAGTGGAACAGAATTGAGAACCCAGAAATAGATCCATTGACCTATGGTCAGCTGATTTTGAGAAAGGGCTGAAATCCATTAAATGGGGAAGAGATGGTCTCTTTAACAAATGGTGCTGGCAAAACTGGGTATCCATTTGCAGAAAAATGAAACAAGATATATCTCACACCATACACAAAAACTAACACCAGATGGGTCAAAGACTTAAATGTGAAACCTAAAGTATAAAGTTTCTCAAGGAAAAACTAGGGGCAAATTTAGGGGCCCTAATATATGGCATATGTAACAGCTCTGGGGCCATAGTGCCTAAGGCATTTGACTGTGTACCAGAAGGCTGGTGGTTCAAACCCACCAGCCACTCCTCAGAAGGAAGGTTGGGCAACCTACTTCTGTAGTGATACCACCTTGGAAACCCAAGTAGGGTTCACTATGAGTCGGATCTGACTCAATGACAGTGAGTTTGGTTTAGTTTAATATATGGCATAAATAGACTGTCAAGCATAACCCAAAATGTACAAACAGCTGAAGATAAACTAGATGAATGGGACCTTCTGAAAATTAAATTTTTATGTGCTTCAAAAGACTTTTAAGAGTAAAAAGAGAACCTATAGATTGGGGAAAATATTTGGCAATGACATATCTGACAAGGGACTTATCTCTAAAATTTATAGGAAACTCCAACACCTCAACAACAAAAAGACAAGCAATACAATTAAAAAATGGGCAGTAGACATGAATTGACACTTCACCAAGGAGGATATTCAGATGGCCAGCAAATACATGAAGAAATGATCACTATCATTAGCAATAAGAGAGATGCCAATCAAACAATGAGATACCATCTCACCCCAGCACTAATGGCAAGGTTCAACAAGACAGACAATTACAAAAGCTGACAATGTGGAGAGATTGGGACTGTCATACACTGCTGGTGGGATTGTCAAATGGTACAACCACTGTGGAAAGCAGTATGGCGATTCCTTAAAAAACTGGAATTAGAGATACCATTTGACCTAGCAAACCCATTACTAGGTATATATCCTAAAGAAAGAGCCAAAACAATAACAGATATATGCTCACCTATGTTCGCCATAGCACTATTTACAATAGCAAAAAGATGGAAACAACCTGTGTGCCTATTAACAGAAGAATGGATAACCAAACTATGGTAATACACACAATGGAATACTATGAGATACTAAAGAATAGCGTAGGATCTACAAGCACTGTATAACATGATATAAATTACAGAAGGACAAATACAGTATTAATTCATTATTGTAAAAAAGTCAAGGAAAGGTTTATATATGGAAGGAAACTTTCTTTGTTGGTTACTGAGGGGGGGAGAGGGGAAGGAATACTATCCCCCCCCCCAAAAAAAAAGCATTGACCCATGGGAGAAAAAAAAATACAACAATCTTGCAAGAGGCCATCTAAGATACAACAATTTGTCTTTCCTTGTCTGGAGCAAAGAAGAATGAAGAAAATCAAAGACACATGGAAACAGTCCAAGGGACTAGTGGACCATGCAAACCTACGTGATTCTGAGACCAGAAGAACTAGACGGTGCCTGGCTACCAATGCCAACCACTTGGAAAGGGATCAAAATAGATCCTGGATAGACTAAGCTAACTCACTGCCATTGAGTCAGATCTAACTCATAGCGACCCCTCCTTGTGTTTCTGAGATAGTATCACTGCCGAAGAAGATTGCCCAGTCTTCTTTCCGAGGAATGGCTGGTGGGTTTGAATCTCCAGCCTCTGGTTCTCAGTCAAATGCCTTAGGCACTATGCCACCAGAGCTCCCATCCTGGATAGAGTGGAAGAAAAATGTGGAACAAAACTTAAAATCATAAGAAAGACTGGGTTTACTGGTCTGGTAGAGACTGGTGAAAACCCTGAGACTATGGCCTGGGGTGACTAGGGTCACCTTTCCGGCTTGGAATTGAAGTCATTCCTGAGGCTTCCAGCCAAACGATAGACAGAGATATAAGGTGAACATTTATGCCAGCCAGGTAGATACATTCCTTAGAACAATCAATGATGGGATATCAGAAGGACAGTATTTGCACAGGGAGATAACTGAGAGAGCAGGAATGCATAGGAAAGAAGGACACAGGGAAAAGGTAACCACAGGGAGGAAGTGGGAAGAGAGCTGTTACATTATGGGGATTGCAGTCAATGTCATGAAACTAAATGTGTATAAACTGTTATATGGAAAATGAATTTGCTCTGTAAAGTTTCACCCAAATCACAATCTAAAAAAAAATTTAAAAAACCTTGAAATAATATCATGCTACTGTGACATGGGACATTTGGGACACAGGTAAATTCTTTCCACAAATAGAGTTATCAAACACCAAAAAGCACTGGAAATGCAAAGATTGTGATCATTTAAGTAGAAAAGAAATCGAAACCAAGGCTTTAATTTGTGAACCATTTTTAGTACAAAATAGTATACTTTGATGCTTCAGATCTTTGCTGTCATCTGTCAACATTCTTGAAACATTTTTCTTCCATTTCAATTTCCAGGTTCAATTTCAGAAGCTTCAGCAACTCCACCTTACCCAGTATCATGGAGGATCCTTACCAAATGTGAGCCAGCTGCGTAGCAGTGTATTGGAGTTTCAGGTACCCCCCAATAATCACTTCTTCAAGCTGAGTGGAATATGGAAAGATAAACATGCATAGCAAGAAGAATTGACTCCTATAGATTAGATCTTAGGTTAATTGGCTCTAGGAGAGTTCAGTAGTCTCTAGGGGGAGTCCATCAATACTTGCTTTCATAGTTTCTGTGGCATAAGATAATGTTATTTTCACAAATGATCTAAGGCAGCACTGTCCAGTAGAAATACAATGTGAGCCACTGATGTAATTTAATATTTTGTAGTAGCCACATTAAATAAAGTAAAAAGCAGCAGGTGGAATTAATCTTAATGCATTTTATTTAACCCAATATATCTAAAATATTTCAACATGAAATCAATATAAAAAATTAATTATATCTTTCATATTCTTCTTTTTTTTTTTTTGTTTTAATACTAAGTGTTTGAAATCTGGTGTGTTATACATAAAGCACATCATTTCAGGCTGGCCACATTTCAAGTGGTCAAAAGCCTCATGGGGCTAGTGGCCACTGTTTTGGACAACACAGATCTAAGATATAGATAAGTTGTCTGTATTGCATTCAGATTACTGTAGTGCCATAGCATGTTTTAATCATTCCTATCAATAGAGCTCAAAACAATGTGGAATTGGTGTTTCAGACAATGGTATATTGTACTATTGTTACAATCTAAATTAGACCTACTTAGATAGCCAGGAGCTCTGGTAGTGTAGTACCTAAGGCACTTGACTGTTTACCAGAAGGCTGGTGGTTCAAACCCACCAGCCATTCCTCGAAAGGAAGATTGAGCTATCTACTTCCATAGTGATACTGCCTTGAAAACCCAAGGAGGGGTCTCTGTGAGTCGGGTCCGACTTGACGGCACATAACAACAACAACAACAACAACAACAACAACAACAGCTAGATCGCCTAGTCTCTGAGAAATTAAGAGCTTGCCATTTTAATTACATAATTTCATATTTGGTGTTAAAATTGAGATACAAACTTAAAGATGAAGCATAACTTGATTCATTTGAGTGCCTCTCCATTTTAAAAGTTCTGTTTTCTTTCTTTATTGTGAAAACTGGGTTTGATGATGTCAAACAAAGCAAGACAGTATTTATATTGGAGACTTCCATTTGAGAGTACTACTAGGAACTCTCAGGAGCTCTGGTAGCATCGATTGTAGGACCAAGCAACGTGAATTCTTTGACAACCTCAATCTTCTCTCCATATATTGTGATGCTGCTCATTGGTTCAGTTGTGAGGATTTTTGTTTTCTTTCTATTGAGATGTAATCCATACTTCAGACTGTATTCTTCAACCTTCATCAGTAGGTGCCTTAAGTCATCCTCACTTTCAGCAAGCAAGGTTGTATCGTCTGCATATCTCAGGTTGTTA